TTTCAAATGCTGCAATTACATACAGTATGAATGCACCTTCTGAGAGTTCATGGATAATTGATACAAAATTGTTCCCACTTGCACCAGAGTTTAACTTGCATCACAGATTTAATTACAAATAAAACTTATAATGTAGCTTTATTATAAATCAGACCTCAAAAAGATTAATATTTACAAATGCCAACAATAATTCATTTAGTACTAGAACAGCAGCATTTTTGATTTACATAAAATGTGGCCTTAAATGACAAAAAACTGTAAGCTGGTTTTAAAGATGCCCTGATCCATATATGTTAATTGTTGTACTTAATTTTGCTATTCTGATATTATTTTTAGTTAAATACATAAATCCCCTTTTTGTTGTTGTTACGGTTTTATTGTGGACATCAATTTCTAATTTAGATTTAGACCACTTTATTAATCCCATCAGGGACAATTTGTTTTAGCAGCACAGGAGGCAAATACATAAATAAACATATAATGTTGTATATTAAAAAATTATTAGAAAAATATGACAGGGAGCTGGGAAATCAACAATAATAAGAATAAAAACACATAACATAGTAAAAGATAGCTGAGTTTTTACCCTACTATAGGTTTGTTATCATGTTTATCATATCACCAACTGCTTCTCATTCAAATCAGATAAACCTATACAAAAAAATGAAATATATATATGTATGATAAGCATGTATTTGCAAAGCAGCAGCATTTTGATACCCCCTTTTGTAGCTCAATATGTCTTTGAATGTTCGTGTTTGGACATTAAAGGTCAGAAACACAGATGGAAGCATAGATAATCCCCCCGGATTTATGTGCATGACTATGTGCACACCAGACTCACCATAACATCTAAGCTCACCTTGCGTGTCATGTGCTGGATGGTGATAAAAGACTTAAGGCAAAGATTCTCAAAAAGCCGTGTTTTCAAACACATGAGATCAAATATTAGAGAGTAAAGTATTTGACGTGGATTTTTACTGGATGCTCTTTTTGAGCACAGGATTTATGATCACAGAATTCGCAACGAAAAAGCTGTTTTTTCTTGATATAAATCAGATCAGAACAGCTTTTATGGGTTCTGTCTCTGTCAGTTGCCATTTGTTCCACAGCAGTCTGCAAACCCACTCCCTAAAAGCCAAGTCCTGCAACTTTTAACAGATTTCTGTATATTCTCATATGAATCAAAAAGCCAAATTAGTATGTCAGCAAGTTTGGTAATGAACCAATCATTTGATCTATGTCTATTTAAGCTTTTCTCTCCTTGAACCCCAGTCGGCCTCAGCAGGTGGCTGCTACCACTGTGCCTCATTCTGCTGGAGGTTTCTTCCTGTTAAAAGGGAGTTTTTCCTCTCCACTGTCACTACAAGCATGCTTACTGTGAGGGATTGCCTTTGAGTCAATGAATCGATGCAATCAGCTGGTTTTCCTTAGATAAAAAAAAATTTGAATCAATCTGACTGTTTCATCTCTCTGTAAAGTGCCTTGAGATGACATGTGTTGTGAATTGGCGCTATATAAATAAACTGAATTTAATTCTATCATAAATACAACTAAATGTTGCAGGAAAGATGCTTTTAAGATTAGAATTGGAGAAATACTGATTATATTTTTACTAAATTGCAGTAAAAAAGTAGACGCATAATCATGTCTTTTTATTTTTAAATTCCTCTATACCACAGCATTAAAACGTGTCACAGAAAAAGACCAGCCGACTCATTGCTGGCTCTTTGACAGCACTGTTTTCCCCGAGAATTTCCGTTGCAAAACATGTTTGTGAGCGTCAGACGATGAGGCAGCATGCAGACTGGGAGGCTGGACTCTTCCACCCGGCTGCCAGCTCGGTAAACAGCAGCAGGAGAGTCTATAAACAGTGGGAAAGACCTGCTCTCCACATGCTGTCCAAGCATAGGGAGTCCGAATGCCATGGTATTAGCAAGACAGGAGAGCAAAAGGAGAACTTTCCACTTTTATACACGGGGTTCCTCTAAGACAACTATGTGCATGTGGTTTGTTTTTTTAGTTAGGATGGGGAAAATGCCTGTATGATGAAGTCAAACGTAATATAAGAAAATGCCTTGATTTGGAGAAAAAAAAGGGTAAAAATATATCAGCATTAACAACAAAGTCCGAATAGACCTACTGCACGTGACTGCTTAGAATGAAAATGTGAAGGAAAGGAATGAAACATGATGAAATCACTCTGAGGAAGCCAGATCTCCTCAAAAATGTCAGAGAAACGCTCCAAACATTTAGAAACTTTTGTATTGATTACCAAATAGGGTCATAAGTGCAAAAAAATGTGGCTTTGTTAGGGCACCCCCAGATTTATTTATCCACTTAAAATAGTTAAGGTCACATGCAGGGCTCAGGGTAAGACTGTGGTGTGATCCTGGCTCTCTGGTGAGTTTGCAAGAGTTGAACGAGCTTTTAGACAGAGGGTTTGAGGACCTTACAAATGTAAAAGAGGTGTAAAATTATTTTGAATTTGCCTTTCAACTTTACTGAAACTAGTCTCTTATGAGGATATTAAAGGAAAGTTGCCAGGATCCACAGGTATGGCCATACAAAACCCTGCAAATGAGGAAAAGAGACCAACAGCAGACTTTTCCTATCACTGGGTTCTCTCTATAATCATAAAGAGATGCCACAAGTTAAACTTGCATGCAGATCTGCTGAAAGGAAACTGTTGCTATGCGAGATGTTATATAGAAAAGACTAAAAGTTTACCTGAGAGAACAAAATAATGTGTTTTTGGATGGCTGTGTTTAAAATGTTATTACTTGGAACCAGAATAGAGGACATGCTGGGCATTAAAACTAATACAACAACCTAGATTGTACCAAATGTGACACATATAAGCGAAAAAATCCTGGTTTGGAGCTGCTTTTAGCAGCAAAAAAAGACTAAAATAAAAATATATAAACACAAGCTGAAGCAGAACAAGTCTCTACATCATAACAGTGACCCCAAACATACCAGGTAATCCAACAAGGACTGGCTAAGATATATAAAAAAAAAGAAATATCAAAACTCCATCTTAATAAAATGCTGTGAATGACTTGAAAGGACTGTATAAGCAAAAGACTGACATGTGAAAGTGAGGAGGGGGAGTGATTTCAGAGACAGGATCAGCATCTCACATAGTTTTTGGAGCTGAATGCATATGCAAAAACATAAGAGAAAATTATCAAAATTTTTAAAGAACTGCATATTTAATGGGGTATCCATGTAAAAACATTTATCAAAAATAGTCATATGATAAAGTATATATGACGATTAAAAACAGAAATGATCATATGCACCATTAAAGCTCTTTAAAACTGTAATAATAAAGGATGTTTTTATTAGACACATTTGCCAGTATTTTTACTATATATGTCAGTATGTTATATTTTCAAGGGGATAATCTGTGCAGCGCTCTTGGTCTTTTCCTCTGCATGCAGCCAAGGCACGCTACTGTAAGTGGGTCACAGCTTCGCTCTGCATGCTGCTGCACCATGGAGTTTGTTGAGCCTAGCTGAAACCCTCCTTAGGCTGATTCAGGGAGAAATAATGGGGCCAGTGACTCCCAATCCCCTGAGGAGCCTCAGCAGGGGAAAGAAGCAAGCTGGCAGGGTGGCCCAGTGGAGCACAGGGGTTAGGCTAGGGTGCCAAAAGAACCAAGCCCCTGACGTACTTTTATTCTACTCACAGTAACACACATAATGCTCTTAATTTAAATGCAATGGGTAAATCAGTTCCATAGCATAAAAAAGAACAATATCACACAACTTTACTGGTGGTGAACTGTTGGTTAAAATCCAATGGAAACAGGTTTTTAGTAGTAATGAAATAACCAAATCCACTTTCAGCTTCTTACTGTGTTAATTGTGGGGTTTTAACGGAACAAATAGGATCTCCATTAGGAAGCAGCACCTGCACTGCCGGATTAAAAGATGTAAATTTATAAAGTCTCCAAAAATCTAGAAGAACTCTCACTATTTAGTTGAGGATGAAGCTTCCAGCTCACGTCCTAAGGAGGAAATTCACACACCCAGCATACTGTATAGTCTTATTTAATTGCATGGTGAAGAAAGGAAGAAATAATTATTTTTTTATTCACATTTTTGGTTTGCTTTTTCCTTTGCAGGATGTAATTTGTGCAGAGAAGACTGCGGAACACTGTGTTCTTACTGACTGTGTGATGCTGGGTTTTTATGTAAGGCTTGTTTCTGCCCGGTAGCAGAGCAGAGCCTCTATAACTGTGTCACACTGCTAATTAATACAGCTGGAGGAAGCCCCCTGCCGAATGCTTTTGTTTGTCATACAATGTACAGCGCCGTGCAAAGAACTATTCATCCATATATTTTTGATCATGAAGCAAAATATATCAGGAAATGATAGTTTTCTAATACAGATTTTATTTATTCGGTTCAAAAAGAGCAAAATATATAATTGCAATTGAAGTTTAGTGATCAAACATTGGAGAATGTTACTTCTGCATTTAAAGTTAGTTAGTAAGGGGTTAGTAAAACCTCTTCGGTTAATTGTCAATTAACTGTGATTCAGTAAATTATTTGATGCTCTAAACCCTCCAATCAGGAAAAACTTGAAATTAGTTGGTTTAGGAGAGCTAGTGCTTTTTTTTTAATCTGATATTAAAATCTACTTAATCTTAAACTTGTAGTTGTAAATACAGGACAAAAACAGAAGAAATATGCAAGACATGAGATACTTCTGTAATTGGTTGCTTCTTAAGCGGAAATGTTCTTGTACTTTATGCTCAGATTATGTGATCTTTTGAAAAACTATGGCCTGATAGGAAGTCATTAGCTCACTATAAGCTTCCTGATTTCTAAACTGGCAAAGATAAATTATTTTAGAGACAGAGACAGGATATCCTCTGTGTGTACGGGAAGTGATTTGACTCGGTGCCAACCCATTTACATGAAAGAGGAGTCAGCGTTGCACAACACACTGTAACTTGAGACAAAAACCAAGACAAAGCAGTAACTCTTTCAATAATTTATTTCATTTATGTTGGTAGCTATTCATAATTAATACAGACAAAAGCAATACTCGTCTACCAGAATTTATAAATCATATTTATCTCGTGAGCATCACAATAAACAGTATATCGAACTATGTACAACGGAAGACAGCACATTCAGACCGAGTCAAAGTAAAGAACAATCCGTTCAGACACAGAAATGGGGAAATTGCTTTCAGACATGTCATGAACAAAATTTCCCAGCAATGAAAAACACTTGGCAGAAAAACAAAATATACAAAGGTGCAAAAAAGCCCCCGTTTAATGGAAAAGAAGATCAATGCAATGTTACATTTGGTTCCAAAGTTGTAAACTATTTTTGATTCATGTCACTATTGCATATATGCCATTAGGTAAAGTGTGTCAACAAGGCAAATAGATCTCTATAATAAAATAAACCAAGATTATTTTTGTTGTTTTATATATATTCAATAGAGTGAGGGAGAAAAAGCATAAAATACACTGTACAGCCCCAAAGCGACACCCTCCCCGTTAAAAATCTGTAGCCAAATTCTTTACACACGAATATAATTGCAACCGAAGTCAAATCTAAGAACTCTCTGTATACAATATTTTTAGGTAAACTCTTCTCTATTTACATAATATATATATATATATATATACAGTTAAAAGAACATTTTAAAAGATAAATAGATACCATAAGTTAGCTTGGTACAGCTCCAATATTATTTAACACTTTCAAAACCCTTTAAAATCTGCGGTAGTCCCGCAAAAATCATACATTCACACATGTAAAAGTTTTACAATCTACACCTAAGGGGTTTGGAGCCAGTTGGGGTCGGCACAGATGTTGCTTAAAGACAGACGTCTCAATAAATGTCAAGATAAAGTGTTTTTGAAAACCCCCGCAGCCATTTTGGAGGATCCTTAATTTGACATTCTGCGTTTATCGGTTTTGTTTTTTCTGTAACTGAATGAAATCTCAACCATCTTATACGCCACTCATTGTTTGATGACATAGTTTTCACCGTTACTAGTACAACCTAGCAGCTAGCAGCTAACTTCAGCTATTGTTAGCAAAGTTGCGATGATATACAGCAGTGTACTGAGGCAGTAATGCTACATGTCAGCATTCACCCATATGCTTAAAGTTTTCACTTGAGATATATTATTAAACTATTTAATAGTTTATTAGCGAGAAACTGAGCTCATTTCATTACAGTCCAGAATTTGCGTTGAAAGCTTTTAGCTAACGACTGCTAATGTCAGAGAAGGCTCCAAATAATTCGGCCATTTTCTACCTAATTTTGTACCCATTGGTTGCCCTTTACATTTTGTACCATAAAAAGACATTTAATTATTTATAATATGTGGGTTATAAGAAAGAAAACCTTAAGTTTATTTCGTTAAAATCCTGGGTTTTGTGACAGCCGTTAGCTAACATTTGGTAATATTAGAGAATCGGTTTAATTTGCACTTATTGCCATTTTTATCCCAAACTCCCTCAGTTTAAAGTATGTTTATTGTTAATTTTTCATGATTTTTGTCGATTTTCTATCACATCCTGCGGCAATTGTTAACCAGACTTCTTTTTAGAATTCCCTTTAAAGTAACTGACCATCATAATTTACTTTTAAATAATCATTTGTCAAAGTATCTATTGGTTTTCCTTGATGTGGGTACAAAATTAAGCGTTACTGGAAATGTCTTTTTTGTCAATTTTTTGGGTTACAAAACCACCAAGGAACCACCAAATATTGGGGACTGTAAAATGGCTCGCACCTTTTAGCTATGCGTCATCATTGTTATCGCTGTTTGGTGATAATATTTATTTTTCACTTCTATCGATCCCGTCTAAAACATCTAGAAAAATCATTTACTCTAGAATATAGCAGTGATTTAGGATCCTTTTTGAAACTCCACAATTGTGTCAGATGCTACTGTATTTTTTAAGTTATGTATTTTTCTTTGTCTTAATCACAGATACGTTCTCAACTGTGCCCCCAACATTTCGCAATGTTCAGTTTGCATTGGCTCAACCCCTCCTTTATCATCTCAACTTTACAGTTGTACAGTCAAATGATATCACAGCAGGGTGGCCTGTGTCAGTCAGAACAACAAGCCTTTGGTTTGAAGGTAGGAGTGTTTGAGGTTTTCAGGCTCAAGTGACTGAGGAACTGTGAGAGGTTCAGTGCCTGGTGTTTTTTTTTTTTTCTTTTTAGGGTCTGAGCTAAGTAACAAAGACATGCATAACATTATTATTATTTAGAAATAGTTTTCTTTTTCTATCCGGACCAAAAAAATAAAATGGGTTTGAATGAATAAAATTATTTAAGAAAATACTTTTAATATTAATATTAATAGAATAAATCCGATATCAAGCAGCCAAACTGGTTCTGTACATTTCAGAAATAATATATATTTAATGGTAAACTATGCACTTTGCTTTTCACAAGATAACAATATAGAGATGTAGGTCTAAACAAATATACCCTAATATATCTATCTCTTATTTCAAAGAAAACATAAGGAAAGTATACACATTAAGGCATTTCGTAGGTCTTATCAGACATTCATCATCCAAAAATAAATAAAACGTCTAATGTATATCTTATATATAAATATTTGTATTTACTCAGTGTACCTTGGTATTCCATCCCTACAGCATGTTTGAATGGTTCACTGACACACTTGTTGCTCGTACTGCGTCTCAGATACAAACACTTGCACACTGACGTTAAGCTACCCTCAAGTAAATAATGGTATCTGGGTACCATTAGAGATTTGTTATTGTCTGACTATCGTTGCCTCTGTGCTTGTGCCACTATTTAGGTCACAGGAGAAATGGCCTCTCAAAGTGCAGGAGAAGTACCAACACACACAAACACCTGCACTGCCTTCAGATACACTACATATATAGGATGGTGACCTGTTTTTCTTTTTTTTCTTGGGTGCGTGCTAGCTGGCGGCTTGCGATGATAATAGGTCTACACAGTCTTTTCGGGTCACAGAGCCCCGGCGGAAGGGCAAAGTCTTTTTTTCTTTGTTTGCTTGTTTTTGTTTCGAGCAGCAGGTCAAGACACCAAATCCGAGGACGAGCCACGTCCTTCAGTCTGCAAGAGATGACAGAAAAAAGGAGAAAAAGTTCAGAAATAAACATTTAACATTTTCAAAAAGACAAATCTACAATAAATGTCTTGTTAATATAACAGAAAATACGGTATAACACCGGAAACTTCAGGTTGCTGTTAGTGATGTCCCTCCCCCACCCGTTGCTGAGCTTTCCTGGTAAATGTCTGAGATAACTACACCTTTACGTTGCTTAAAAGCACACACACAAAAAAAATGTTTTTCTCACAAAATGTTTGGGTTTTGAAATGCACTGGCAGTTATTAAAAAAGAGCTTTCAAAAATCATGAAATGATTAAATCCCATACTTAAGATTTAGGTCCAATCAAGGTAATAAAGTTGAAAAACCACATTTCTTTTGCATCATAATCTTTCTTGCAGTTAAAATTTTTATTGAGATGCCAGAGCTGTTTTGTTTTTCAGCTTTTTTAATTACTTAGAATGGGATTATTTAAATTTAATAAGAGTAGATCATGTTAACTGAGGGGTTTTAGCATTCGTTTGTTTTCATCAAATAGTACGATTACTTAAAAATAATATTTCTTAGCCAAATAAGCTTAAAAACAGATCTATTTACCCATTTTATTGATACATTTTTGCATAAATACCCGACTTAAAAGCCGAACAATAAACAACATTACAGATAGGATTATGATACATAATGTAAATTATTGTAAATCTTGCTTTATCATGCATCATTGTTGTTTTTTTGTCCGTCTCAACCCATGTTTGTTCTTTGACTACGCTCTCACAAACAACACTGGCGCCAATTAAGCAGACCTCTGAGACAGCAGACGTAAGAGCATCGAGGGAACACCGTGTTGCTTTTTGTACTGTACAGTGTGAACCCATTCACAGAGTCAGAGGATTGTTTTTCCTGCCACAGAAAAAAAAAGAAAAAAAAACACCAACAAACGTCACATTTTGCTTAAATATCCAGAACAGGAAGTTCTGCTCTCCTTGTTTATTGCACTTATCTGCATCCATCTGGGTGTATGCATATTGACAGGGATATTTATTCCTCCTGACAGGAAGTGTTTTACACATTCATTTGTGGAAAACAAGAATAAAGGTGATGTTTAAAAGCTAAAGCACCAGCTGCTGCCCCTGGAAGGCTCTTGAAGGACAGTTATGTTTATATACGTCGTCGTGTGTTGGACAAGGCGGCTGTTCTGCAACGCTCGTGTAATTACATAATCTGGGATGCAGAGCGGTGGGGGCTGGGGCAGAGAGTGTATATGTGTGAGCGGGGGGGTTCTCCTGTCGCTGTGCTGCTCTTGTTGCCATGGATACACGCCGAGCGCAGGAGGCCGGGCAGCAAGCTGCAGCATCTGTGATATGAAGCGCACGGACAGGAACTCTGGTTGTGTTTAACAGATGTTCACGCAGGGTTCGCTCGCATGCGATTGGAGGCTGAGCAAAGAAGGTCAAATGGAAAAGTGCTGCTATTGGAAGAAGTGGAAGAGTGAGGTGCATTTTGGCCAATTGCAATTTTGAAAGGGTGGTTTAAAAAAAATTAAAAATTAAGAGGCTTGTCTTATTCCTGAAAAGTTGTTCGTTTAGAGAAACTAGAGAAAGAGGAAGGAATTAATAAAACAGTCTTTTTTAAATACAGTTTCTAAATTTTAAACTTCTTTTACTAAGATTTTGAAAATGTGAAGCCAGCAGGTTGTAACAAAATAATAATAAAAATTCCTTGCTTATAAGAGAGACAAAATTTCCCAATATGTTCTGCAGGAAAGGATGGGAAGTTTAATCCCATCATTTTTAGGTGTATATGATTTAAAAAGAAAACGGTTTAATGACAAGAAAACTGAAAACAAAAAGTTTATGAAAATTCAACACTCATAATGCTGTCAAATTCAGCAAAATAAGCCATCATCCCAGTCACAGGCAATAAAACGGCATCATAGACCCTCCTATGCACATAAGGCCATGCACATTAATAAGTCCATTCTGCAGGAGTTTGTTCCATATTTTCATCTACCACCAGGTAAATATGCTAAAATTAAGAACATTGACTAATTATTGTTATTAATAATAATTGTTGTCATTTCATTTTCCAAGATATTGATATTTAATATAAGGCCAATTACTGACAGAATTCACTCCTTTCTGATTTGCTGATATACCTTTGAATTGTCAATTTGATGCATTTATGAAGGGATGTGCGCTTACGATGACGAAACGCAGCCAGCGCATGTTTGCACCTTGGGTTACGTATTCCCCAGCTGCTGACCAACGACCAAGCCTCTTGTCCTCATCGCCCCCCCCTCTCCACCCCAACTATCTAATCCCGCCTGCGGAGGCTGTAATCTACTCTGGAGCCGTAGCCGGCTAAATGTGGGGAACGCTGGCCACGCAGTTAGTGCTTCTGTCTGGAACATCCCGGCCTAGTTTAGCGCCCACCTCCCCCACTCACCTCTCCTCCTCCCTGGGCCATCACAAACACACACACACATGTACGCTGCCTGGAAACTCTGACTGAATATCCTTTGAGGCTACGTGCGTACGTTTGTTCTGCACAGATCATGTAGCATAGCATTTCTGGATTCCCGCCCTTCAATGCACGGTTGGCCTTTTGAGATGCCAGCAGCAAAAACGCTGCTCTTACATGAGAGTAAATAAAGTATTTAACATCTGGTGGATTTGCATAGGTTGACAGCAGGGGTGGACAGGGCAATCAGGCTGATGGGTACATTTAGGTGTCACTGCAACGTGTAATTCTGCAAACTATGCAGAAAAAAAAAAAAAAAATCAAAATATGCATCTAACTGTACTCTAAAAAACATCTGCTGCAATTAAACGTTATAACCAGAATTTCATTATTTTAAATATTTTAATTCACTGTCACATTTGATTCACTTTCTTTTTCTTTTTCCATCCTTTTAATTTGTTAATATTTTTTTTAAATCTTGCACTTTAAGGAGTATTTTTAACTATTTTAAATGGTAAGAAAAAAAAAAAAAGATAAAGCTGCACACAGATGACTAG